CCTAAACCTAACCCTAAACCTAACCCTAAACCTAACCCTGAACCTAACCCTAACCCTAACCCTAACCCTAACCCTAACCTTAAACCTAATCGGGCTTCTGTCGGCGCTCTTTTGTAGGTGCGCTTTTGTGGGTGTGCTGTCGACGTCGCAGTTTTATCGCCGCGGTTTTGACGGCACACTGTTGTCGGGCGGGCATGTGTCGGGTCACGCCCATCGAGAACTGGGAATCTTACCTTGGATGGATTGGTGGGAGGTACAGCCTCCACAGGGAAGGGACTGCCCGGGACAGGGACACCATCGTAGGTGACATCCACTTCGTAGGGTCCTTCTTCTCTTGGAATGAACTTCACCACACTGTTGTCTGAGCTCAAGCCTGGCTCTACCTTGCAAGGCACAGGCTTACTGGATGGGCCTACGATTTTGGCAGCCACCTTGCCTTGGCCTCCAGCGCCTTTGGATTTAACGGTGAACTCCTGGTCTTTGCCCACTTCCACTTCTGGAAAAGAACCAAGTGCACATCTATGAAGATCAAACCTGGAACTGACAGGGCATCCCTGTGCCCCATTTCCCCCCAGAACGAAGAGAGGATTCCACCCACAAATCTCCTATCCTTTGCAAATGCTTTTGCCAAGACATCTGGGGTGACCCTTCTTTTCCTAGGTAGTCATTTAGATATGCTTCTATTATACCAAGGCACGGGGGAAGGTGACTATACTTTGCAGCTGGAGTTAAGCTGAAGGGGAGAGAATGATATTGTTGGCATGACTAATATTTCCTGGAAAAACAAAAAACAAAAACACAAAAGGCAGCCTTGGAGTGCTTCCAGCCATTTTGCCCTGGCAAATGTCCAGGAAGGGAAAAGTTTTATTCAGGAACCACTAAGGAGGTTTTCTAAAGACATGCCTGTTCTTTAAGTATGTTTTCCGTCACCCCCATGGAAACACTGGGACTATAGCTGAGGGAGGGGGGCGGGCTGGAAATTCTGTAATTAATGTGGATGAGGATATATAGAGTTTTGCTTTGGGCTAGGAGCCATCCCAATTCAAACTTTACATGGATAGTGAACAGACCCGAGGAGGAGGCCAATTGTTTGGATAGGCAGTCATGCTGCACACCAGAGTTCCCCAACCTTTCCGGTTTTGCGGCCCGAGGGGGAGGGAGGAAAGGGGATGGTCCTGGGTGAGTGGCAGGCACACAGCTACGTTTGGGCAAGCGGTGGGCACTCATGCCACTTGCGCAAATGCAGGCACACACACCCAGGGGTTGGTCCCGGCTGCTGGCACTGCCGGTTCGCTCAGGGACAAGCAGTAGTGGAAAAAGAAAATGCTTCTGTGCATGGAAAGAAGCAAAAAACAACATGGCAGCGCCTATGGCATCACCAATAGAATCAGTACCAGGCCAAGTTACTACCTACTAGTCCAAACCAGTAGGAACCCACCTCTGACACACGCCTGCTGCTCGTGCAAGTGGGGATGTATGTGCTCGTGCTCACCCGCCACCTCGAGGGCCCGGTTCAGGGGTGGGTTTCTCGCCCTGTTCCAACCAGTTCGGTTGGAACGGGGCCGGCGGCGTCCTCGTGCACGCGTGCAGTGCACGCATGCGTACTAG